TGATGTTACTAAATGGGAAGATTTAATTGGTTCAATGGTTTAATTTTCAACTTCTATATTTTCACTGATCAAGCTCATTAAAATCTTCCTTTCGCTTCAAGCCAAGTTCAGAGCTCACTTACATGTTTCCTCATCTTCCAATCTGAATCAAGTTCTGCTTTGTAAGGATCCCAATACCACGTGTCCCTTGGTCACTGCACTTGTCACTTTTAGGGGTCTGTCAGGGTCATTATCATCTTCATGGGAATGGGTTATATCTTCTGTCTTTTGAGTCCTCTGTCCACCATTTCCCTGTTTAATATAACTGTGGAAATTTAATATATTTTGGTTAAATTAAGATTTTTGTGGTTTTTTAAAATATAACTATTTTCTCAAAGTCCATTGAGTTTTCTGTGAAAACTACCACCTCGTGATTCTGCCCTTTTTTTACCAAAATATTTCAGATTAGTGCATACTTACAGTCTGTTTTCTCACCTCCAGTTCTCTCCTGAACCCACTCCCAACAGATCTTTGCCCCCACCACTTGATCAAGTGAGTGCTTGCCAAAGGGATCACTGACGTTGGTACTGGCAAATCCAGTGGTCACTTCCCAGGCTTTACCTGTCAACACTTGACATTCACTTCTTCATGACCTTGTTTCACATATAGACTGACACCTCACAGGCCTGATTGCTCTCATGCCTTATTTGTATCTCCTTCTCAATCTTTGTTTGCTGAACCCTCATCTTTTCCCTGACCTCTGAATGTTGGTGTACTGCAGGATTCTGTCCTTGAAGTTCTTCTCTAATAAACTCACTCCCAGGGTGATCCCAGCTGGTCCCCTCTCCTTACATGTCTTCTCTCTGAGAGTTGGCCCTCTTTGACCTTTTCCCTGAGCTCCAAACTGGTCACTTCAGCTGCCTTCATCTCTACTTGAGTACCCAACAGCTACCTCAGTCTTCACATGACCACAAGCAGAACTCATGGATTATCCTCCAAACCACTGCTGCCCTAGGCTTCTCCATCTTAGTTAAACTGGCTGCTCCAGTTAAAATGACCAAAAACCTCAGAGTCCTTTTTGATTTTGAACTTTCCCTCAGTATTCAACATTCATTCACCAGAATGTTCTGTAAAATTTACCTTCAAACTTTTTCCCAAATACCATTATTTTTCATTTCTCCTCTCCTAACACCATCACCTACGACATGTGTATATAACATAAGCCCTTACCTGGTCCCACTCTCTCTCTTTTGGGCCAGCCACACACAGCAGGCAGAATGTTTAAAATGTAAATATAGTAATGATACTTTCTGGTTTAAATACCTTCCAGAGCTTTCTTAGTGAACTTAGGACAAAGTCCAATTTCTTTCTTATGGCCTTCAGGACATCATATGTCTTGGCCATGCCAGCCTGCTGACTCACCTCTACCACTCTCCCCCTGGCTCACAGTGTTTTAGCCAGTTCTGTCTTCCTCATGAAGTTCAACCTTGCCTCAAGGCTTTACACTTGCAATTCCTTCTGCCAGTAATGCCCAAACTCCGTAACGCCCACACACCACCAAATGTTCTTTAAGCTTGTTCCTTGTCACTATTCAAGTCTCAGCTGAAATATCAATTTCTCTAAGAGACTTGCTTAGATCACCTGTCGGAACACTTTCTTTGGTTATCATCAGCCTCAGCCACTAGAGCCTAAGCTCCCAGAGAGCAGGATGTTTTCTTTTCTCCAGTGCCTCACATAGTACTTCATATGTAAGAGAAGCTCATTAAATACTTATGCAATGAATTCAGGAGTGAATGAATGACGTCTACTTTTTATTTATTTCCTTAGTCACGTCACTACTCTTATTATAGTCTTTTAATGTACGTGTGTCATTTCCTCACAACTTCTCTTTAAGTTTTTATAGGTAAGAGCCAATGGGTCGTTTAAATCCTACTAATAGAATACTTACTGATGTGGAACATAAACAGTGGAGCAGTAATATTGAGTTCTAGCCCTGGATATTTCCCACTAAATCACTCACTTTTTATCAGAGTCTTGTCAGGTTTATCTTATAAATCAAATGATCTCTCTGGCTCTTTCCACCACCACTCTCTCAAGCCAGGAGCCATCACTTCTTCCTGGACTACACAGTCAATCTCTATTTCTATTTATTCTTCTCATTAAGCCAAAACTTTGAAAACTAGATCCCTGACTAGACCTCTCACTAAAACACTACCACTTGCTTAAAATAAAAAATACAGATGAGCTCACTGGGCCCATAGTGCCCTGTGTGTTCTTGCTGCTAAATACTTCTACATACTACGCACTAACCATGCTGCCCTCATTCTCTGTGCTCTAGTCACATCGGTGGCTCCTTCTTGCCATCAAACTCTTACATTTGCTGTTCCCTGTTCCTAGAGGAAAGAACATTTGCTGTTCTTTCTTCTCATCTGTCTACTGTTAACTATTGTCCTTCATATCCCAGCTCAACTGATGCTTTGTAATGGTAGCTCTCTGTCATCCCTCAGACCAGGGAACATGCCATTATCTTTCACTCATATAGCCTGGTGTACCACGAGCCATTTCATTTTATACAGTTGTTATTTCACATTCATTTCTGTGACACTTTGATTAAACTTATCTGATCTATTCATATGTTGAGTTCCCTGAGGCTGTATTTGACTTTGGTCTCTGCCTTGCCCCATGGTATGTGTTTATTACTATTCATTTTAATGCTCGAATACTTCAGCTACCCTTCCTAGTTCCCATGCTGCCCATACATACGGGAGCTCAGTGAAAACAGACACACCATACAGAATCTCTTGACATTTGTTAGGGGGTCAAACCAACACAGACCTTGCATGCAATTAAGGAAGACCTGGTGGGCAAGTGAGGTGAACTTTGAATGAGGCCCAGTGAATGGTGAGTAGGATCTCAGATGATTAAGATTGTGTGTCAGCTTGGCTGGGCCATGATTCTCAGTGTTTATATGTGATGACCCCTATGATGGAATCTGCTGTGAGTAGCCAATCAGTTGAAAGGGAGTTTCCTTGGGTGTGTAGCCTGCATCTGAATATAAGTGGACGTTCTGTCTTTTGCCCTCTCTGGATCCTGCAGTTGCCTCTTGTTCGTCTGACCTCCAGTTCTGGGGACTTCAGCTAGCAGCTTACCTGCCAATCTTGGGATTCATTGATCTTCACAGCCTGTGAGCAAAAGTCCTGCTCTTGGGTTTGCTAGCCCCTGCAGCTACGTGAATCAGGAGAAGCCTCTATCTTGATCCACGGACTTGTGATGTTTCATCCTCTATGGTCGTGTGAGCTGTTTCCTTCATATAAATCTCTCTCTATGTATATATATTTATATGCTTTATTGGTTTTGCTTCTCTAGAGAGCCCAGCCTAATACATTTGGTATTGAGAGTGGGGCACTGCTCTAACAGATAACTAAAATGTGGACGTGGTTTTGAAACTGAATGGATAGAGCACTCAGAAGGAAGGGAGAACTGTTAACACAAGAGAAGGTGCAGATGATGAGAAGCAGCAGCAGAGGACCAGCTTCAGCAGATGACAGGCTGAAGCAGAGAACCGGTGGCAGCAGAACCAGGAGACTAGTGTGAGATGGCACTGGAGCTGACCCATGGTGTGAGAGAGCTGAGTGCCTTTGCACAGGAGGCTTCTTGGTGGAGTGGGATGCCTCTGAGCACTTATTGATGGAGCTAGGCTTACCGACACATGGAGCAAGAGAGTTTTGGAACATTTGCTCCAGGAGAGCAGTTGCAGACATGAGGCCTGAGGACCCAGAGGCCAAGGAAAAAAGAAGCAGAAGCTAGAGACAAGGAACACAAGAAGCTGAGCTACCTCAGTCTCAAAAGGTATGGCCTCAACCTCTGGGGTCTCAAAGGGTGGACCCATGGCCTCTGGTGTTTCTAAGGGTGAAGTCGCCACTCAGACGGGCTAGGAGAATGGTGCGCCTAAAACCGAGGGAACAGAGTTACTATCCCAGTGGGCCTGGAAGGCAGAGCTGAAGCCCAGAGCCGAGGGACCTCCACTCAGAATCTGGAGAGTGGGGCCAATACCTAGAGTCTGGAGGGCAGGGCCATTGCCTAAATTGTCTCAGAGAACAGAATTATTTGTAAAGCTTTGAGGGCTAATGTAATGTGTTCTGCTGACTTGCTTGGTGCCTGTTATGCTTTCTTTCCCTCCAATTTCTCCCATTTGTAATGGAAATGTCTGCACAGATCCACAAACCAGATGTTAGGTACAAGTCAACTTAGCCATAAAGAAGACTTCCATGAAAGGATGGACTCCAGGAAGTGCACAAGCACTACAGGTATTACAGAGGAAACTTTGAGTCCAAAGCTAGGAACCATGGAAAGCAAGTTGTCTGATATCGTTGAAGTCTACTATGCTATCACCACATTAGTTACAGGATGCTCCCTCCTCTTGTTTTAATGGAGTCTGTCAATATTGTCCTTTCTTACTTGGCATTTTTCAATCAGGCATCCTGCTGAGGTCAAGCCTCAGAATGACAGTATAATCCTCTGATATGATGATATGATATGAGGGTGACATTGTTTGCTTTCTCCTGCTGGCCCAGGACTGCAAGTAATATGTATGATGGTTTCTATAGTTTCAGGATCTCTTTTCATAACAGCACCCCCAGGTTCATCTTGGACACAACTCCCTTTGTGGTTCTCAGTTTTTACTCCCGTGGCTCCAGCTACTTCTTTTGCTTTGGTAAGACATTCTCTTCCAAATCCTGATGCTTTTACCAGGATAAGAGTGGAAAGAGTGGAGAACATGAAGAAATTCAGACATACCTATGGCTTCAGGAATTCGCACTTAAATAACTAGTCTTTTATCGATATATAAAATCTCCAGGGAGCATCTTCAGTATGTCAATAGCCAAGGTCTCTGAGAAGACACTGGAAACAAAGTCAATTCATATTGAATGTCTAATCACTCAAGAAGGCACAAACTGGAAATCCATGAGGGAAAACAAAGAACGACAAATCATCTGGACCTAATGCATCACTCGGTTAGCTCAGAAGTGGGTGATTGTCTGCTCTTTAGCCCAGTCCTGGAAGTCTGCTTGGCCGAAGATGAGGTAGAAGACCAGGACAAATACATTAATGGCAGCCGAAAGCAAAACTTTTCTCCAGCCCAACTCTGAATCTTGGAGGCAGAAAACAAATCATTAACTGTTACCCAGTTCTTGTCCTTCATTGGCTAATAAAGGCTCTCACTCCCCCAACTCCTCTCCAGCCTCTGTGGGCTTCCCGGTTGTTCCTGGACATGCCAGGCACATTTTTGCCTTAAGGCTACTTATTCCTCTGCTGGAACACTCTTCACCCAAGTCGCCATTAGGTTCACCACCTCACTTCCTTCGGGTCCTTGCTTAAATGTTACCTTTTCAATAAGGTGTTCTTTAGCCACTCTATTTAAAATTTAACCTTCACTTACCTCTTCTGCGTCTTATTCCTGTTTTCAGTTTTATTCTTCTCTTAGCACTTACCACCACCCAGCATACCCAAAATTTACTTATTGCATATATTTTCTATCAATTTCTTTTCTACAATATAAGCTTCATCAGGGCAAGAACTTTCGTTTGTTTTATTTCCTTAGGTAACATTTACTTGGTCCATGCTAAAGTTTAATACATATTTATTGATTGAATGAATGGATAAATAAATGAATAATGGGAGACAAGATAAGTTTGAGAATTTGTATATTAGAGAACTATTTCCTACAAGTATGTTATTCAATGTTTGGAAGGGAATTGACGCTTCAGGGGAAAAAAAAGAAGAAGAAGGGACTTGATATCATAAAGACAACTCTTTCTTTGTTAAACTCCATTCATTTTCTTGAGTCACTGATGGAAAACCATAGGGACTTAAAAGAAGGATGTACATTTGAGTATCGTAGGCATCTTTCTTTATGTAAAGTCTGTATGAGTAAAGATTTTTTATAGAAGTTTAAAGCCATCATGTGAATTTCTTCATTATGACAGCTCTATGTACAGTTTTGGAGTCTCTGGGTTGTGCATACACTCAACTCCCTTAGCTGGCAACCAAAAGTCCACCTGGAGGCACATCAGAAGAAAGCCCTGGTAATTTACTTCTGAAAAATCAGCCATTGAAAATCCTATGGGTCACAGTTCTACTCTGACACACATGAGGTCTCCATGAGTCAGAATAGACTCTATGGCAATGGGTTTGATTTGGTTTAACTGCAGCTTCTAGTCTGGAAGTCTCTATAAATGTAAAAATACAATGTAAGCCATATCAAAGGACTTTCTGCCCTAATCATTTATGGGCATAAATGTGAGGTGAACGTTGTTCCTTCATTCAATAATTTACTCAACTTCTCACTCATTCAGTCTGTCAATATTTGTTGGATTCCAAATCAATCAATTTTGGCTGAAACTTTCAAAGTTTAGCACCGATAGCCCTGCATCTTAGGAAGCACCTCAGTTTTGGGCAAACTAGCATGGTAGGTCACACTAGTCTTTAAGAGAAATGCCAAGATTATTGTTAGAAAAATTGATGCTTACCATGAGAAGCTCATCTTATAAGAACTGAGAAAAAATAAACTCATACAATTGAGCATTCCTCCTTGCTCTATACCTTAGCAATTTCCCTGCATGACCAGAGCCTAGGTTGGAAATGAGAGCATTTACTCAAGACTCTTCAGCTGTGAGCTGAGCCACATTGAGGCTGAAACAAAAATCCCCTTAGTCTGAAATCCCCTGGGTGACCTATATGGATCCTATACGTACTCTTTTAGTTTTTTCTTAAGAATATTTTTCAGAGCATATGACCTCACCTGACTGATAAAAAATCCAGCAGTGGTAGGAGAGATGGCTCCAGCTCTTCGTGGAAAAACATTTGCTAGTCCCTTGAGAAAGCCAAAGTATCTGAGAGAGAGAAATAGGGAAACATTCCTGTGTGAACACAAGGTTCATGTCCTCTGGTCTGTTGCAACTCTGTGTTTATCTCTAGGGATGACAGGTGTTGTGTTGACCCTTGGACAAAACTGAATAAAATGGACTGAATAATGTTTAATATAATCCTTTCCTAGTGTCTGAGACTTCCAAGGGGCAATCTGTACTAACTTGTCTACATTGTTTAAAGAAAATGAACAAATTGATGGCTTGCACCTGGTTTGTATGTTCTCTTGGTTTCTGCTATTGAGCCTGATCTTGCACTTTGTTTGGGGGCACGAAGTCTCTCATTGGTTGAGAAAATGAGCCCAGGTATTTTGGTGGTAAACTATCTGAAGATGAAGCGTATTCTCTGTTACTGTGAAAGGACTTTGAGATGTACAAATAGAAGTCTCAGTCATCTCTGACCTTTACCTATACTTTCTCCTACTCTACCATAATTTTTACCTAATTGAAGCCTTACATGAGCACACTCTGGAGTCTCATAAGTCCTATCAATTATCCTACCCTGTGTAACTGCTACATTTCCCCACAGAGAGAGATCTGTGGGAGTCTCCCCCGGTTGTGCTATGATTTTGGCACTATTATGTTATAAGTCACTGACCTTTCTTGTTTTCACCTAGATAAACTAAGTTTACAAGGGTTAACCAGATTTAGATTCCTTCCAGAAATTTTTTGGATGTAGGGCTGGTGTTGACATTTCCTGTGACGGGTTGCACATCACATCTTGTCTATGTGTCAGAGCAGGTTTAGGGATCGTTTTACCAAACTGAGCTTCTGTGAAGATGAGGCAAAGGTAGCCCTACCGAGGAGCAATATCCAAGATGTTAACAAAGACTCCGGTGTAACTAAATCTGGCGATGACAGGAGACAGTATCAAGAAGGTCACAGAGGTGTTGGTGCTGAATCTGACCCAGTACAGAGACACCATGAACAGGGATGGGAGGAGAATTTCTGGAGGGGAGGGCAAGAATAGATACAGAGTAAATAGGTGGCTTCTCTGAGCATTCCATGTCTACCCTTGTAACTGGCTCTCTCCTTACCTACGGCAGTGAAGAGTTTCCGTATGGTTATGAGGCTGAGAATTTTTCTGGAAAAGAGAAAATCTGCCAACAGACTTCTGAGGATCATGCAGAGAAAGGCGATTATAAATGGCAGGGCAGACAGGATCCCACTCTGAGGACCAGACAGGCCTTCACCATCCACCCACCATGACCCAGACTGAAGCCTGGACTGATTGTTCACATCTGTGACTTTTCTCTATGTACTTTGCACTATTCATACGAATTCATTGGTATTTGATTGGATCAGTAGAGTTTAATGACTAGGGGAAAATATGCATATGACTGAAATTGCAGAAAAGGACTAATAAACTTTTCATACATAGAGATCCTCGGTAAACATATTGAAATGACCAAAACCAACTATAAAAATAGGAAAATGATATAAAATTTTACAGAAAACAGACATGAGTGGTTACTAAATACATTAAAAAGTACTCTCAACGTCACTTATAATAACAGAAGTGTAAAATAAAACTATGTCGAGATATCATTTTTCATGGAACAAATTGGTAGAGATCCAATATTTTTGGCATGTTCCATGCTGTCACTTCAGAGGAACAGATACTCCCAATAATTATTAGTGCCCTATGGAGGGTGCCATGTATTAAACTGTGTCCCCTAAAAATATATGTGAAAGTTACTACCCCTGTAACTGTAAATATGACCATGTTTAGAAAAAGAGCTTTCTTTGTTACGTTAATGGGGTCATACTGAGTAGGGTGGGTCCCAAACTAATCCCTTCTGAGTACTGTCTTATAAAAAGGGAAAAGAGACATGGAGAGATACAAGCAGAGCAAAGAGAGATGACATGTGAAGATACAGCCATAAGGGAGCGTGAAACCCCAAGGAACACCCAGGGCAACAGAGAAAGAAAGATCCTCCTACAGAGCCTGAAAGCTGATTTTGGAGACAATCAATTCTATTGTTTAAAGCCCCTCACTTGTGGTATTTTTGTTATGGCAGCATTAGGTAACTAAGAGAAAGGGCAATTTGACAATATATACAAAGCTTATACTGTATATACCCTTTGACTTACCAATTTGATATGTAGAAATGTATTCTATAGAAAGTTTCACAAGTGCAAAATGACAAATGAACAAGGTTTTCACTGCAGCATTGCTCAAAAAAATAGAATAACCCAAGTATCACTCAGTAAGAGAGTTCTCATGTATTGATATGAAAGATCTCCAAGGTATCTTAAGTGGCTAAAACTAATATATAAAACATAGCAGCACATACCACAGAAGATGTTTTGTGTAAAATAAGTTGGGAAAATAAGGACGTGCATTCATGTATGCTGGTATTTACATTAAAAATGTGAGAATATATAAGAAATTAATTTTAAAAAGTAATGTGTCATCTGGGCTCAGAGATCAGGGCAGATGGGGAACAGGAGTGGCAATAAGAATTTTCAATTATACCTTTTTTGTAGCTTTTTAAATGTTGACCTCTTTAAGAGATTAGTAATCAACCTCTAAATTAAAATTCTCTTGAAGAAAATGTGATTCAAATTTTAGTCTCTATGAAAAAATGACATCCATTATTGTGGAGAATCCAAACAGTGGAAAAGATTTAACTATTACCTGGTCCAAGCTATTCATTTCACAAATGAGTAAACCAAGGTTATCAACTTTGTGTGACTTAATGCAGAAATACCAGGAGAACAATGGTAGTCCAGGAACTCTCTACCATCTGGTTCCACCTTGCCTTCCCATTCAGTGTCAACCCTCCTCTCCTCAGCTTTGGACTCTGATGGTTGGGACCCCTCCAGATCTAACACAAGAGACAAATTATTGCTAATAGCCAACTTTAATATATCTATCTCTCAGCCCTGACTTCCTGCTTCTCTAAACATCCTGTCCCCTAATTCTGTGGCTTGAGGCTTTCGGTTCATTGCTTGCTTCAAGCCATCCCCCTCCTTCTTTCAGAAGATCCATAGACACGCCTTCCTTGGCCTTTCTGACCTCAGTACTTCCAGTCTGCTTGCATCCTGACCCTGTCAGCTCCCTAGACTCTGACCACTAAGAAGTCAGATCTCTGTAGGCACTTAGTACCTTGTCTCCAAGGAGTCCAGTCAATATGAGAAAATTACTTTTTGAGTACAAAGGATGAGAGTGTAACAGTAATTCCATGGACTTGTGAAATTAATAGAGCATGGTGTCCTAGTGTACTCTTTGCAACTTTTGTAACATACACCTACCGGGCATTAAGAGTCTCCACTAAGCCAATCAGAGAATATGTTCATTTTGTGAAAATTCAGAGAACTGTACACATATGTGCACTTTTCTCTTTATGTATATCATACTTGAATACAATGTTTAAAAAAATTTATCTAGTGGGAGGAGCTAACATGGCCCTATAGACAGAAGTACCATGCTGTCCCTCCACAGCAAAGACCCGAAAAACTAAGTAAAACAGAGACAAACGTCAATCCTGGAAACCTAAGCATCAAATGAAGAGATAAAGAACTCAACCAAGCACCAAATGGAATAAGAAACTGACAGATAACAGACAGCGAGGAGAGTTAGGAGCAGAGGTCCCCTATCAGCTAACACAGCACAGATCCACCATCTTGGATTCCCATCAGAGATCAGCAGACAGGGAGTACAGGAAAGCAGATTCACGGAGCTCCCAGAATCAGACAGAGCACCTAGTAAAGAGTGAGACACGCTTTCCCACCCTCCACCCTGCCTCCTCCTGCTCGACCTTTGCCACTTCCCAGCTGGCCAATCCACAGCTTCTTGTTGGGCCTATTCCTGGCTTCCTGGCTGGCTGATTTGCTGCTTCCCAATAGGCCATGAACACAGCATGGAAGGCTCCTGTTCCGTGCCATGCAGATTCACCCTGCCCACCCTGGCCATCTTCTTCACTGTCATTTGTTGCTGGTGTTGCTTTTTTTCGGCCTCTTTTGGTTTCTTCCCTGCCTCTCACCTCCTTCCCCTCCTTTCTCTTGAACACCTGACTTTGTGCGCCATCTTTGCTTCTTCTTGACAAGCTGTGAAATGCTGCTTAGCTGGGAAACTGCTTCCCCGGTCCACATGGCCTTGCTGGTGGGATCCCTAGGGGCTTTTTGTTTCTTTGTCTTTTTGTTTGTTTGTTTTCTCCTTCTTTTTTCCATTTTATCTTTCTTCATTTCTCAGTTTCACATCTCTTTCTACTTACCTTCTTTTCCTGTCTCCTGAATACTTGACTCGGTATTATCTCCACCCCTTCTAGCCGGGCTATACTGTGCAGCTTGGGAGCCACATCCCCAGTCTGTGAAGCTGCAACAGTGGGATCAGGGTTTTTTTTTTTTTAATTTTTATTAAGTTTTTTAATTTTATATTTACTTTTTCTTTTTGTTTTTCTTTATGTCTCAGTTTCCTGTCTCTCTACTCCAATGGCAAGTTCCCTTAGCACTTTTTTTTGGCTCCTGTTTCCCTCTCCTTTGTTTCTTCTTTTCCATACCCAGCCTAGCTCTACCTATCATAACCTCCCTCTCCCCCTCCCTCCTGCCTATCTGCATTGTGTGCTGAACTTTGTACTCCCGAACAGCACAGGCACAGCCTACTGGAACCTGCCCTGCACTGACCACCAGCTCACCTTGTCAGCTCAAGTGTGCACCACAAACAACCTATTACAGCTGCCTCCTTAAGCTGGACCTGCCTTGCTGCACCATAGCTGAATGACTGGCCCTGCCCATTGGACACGGAGATGAAAAACATCATGTCACAGATTAGCAAACAACAAAGAATGCACAGCCCACCTGCTAAGACATAACCAAATCAAACAAAAAATCAGGATGAAACAAAGAAATCTACAATCAATAAACAGAAGAAAATAACTACTGAATGTCCCAAAGACAGCAGACAATATCAAACATATTAAAAAAAAACAGGACAGGATGGTTTAAGTAGGTGTCCAAAATAAAACACCAAATGATTTTCCAGTAGAAGAAAAGACACTAGAACTACCTGATAGAGAATTCAAATCTCTAGAATTCAGAATTCTCCAAGAGTTGAAGCAAAAAGCAGACAAAATGAGGAAAAAAGACAAATCTATGGGAAAGGCAGACAAATCCATGGAAAATACAGACAAAAAAAATGGAAGAATTCAGGGAAATAATGCAGGAACAAAATGTCAAAATAAATTCACAACTAGAAATCATACAAAAACAAAAATTAGAAATCCAAAAGATAAACAACAAGATTTTAGAAATGGACAGTGTCATAGAAGGACTGAGGAACAGGTTTGAAACAATGGAAGACAGGATCAGTGAAATGGAAGACAAACACTTGGATCAATTTTGTTTGAGGAAAAATCAGAAAAAAGAACAAAGAAAAATGAAGAAACCCTGAGAGTTACATGGGATACACAATCAAAAGCAAAAATTTGTTAGTGATCAGAGTTCCAGAACAGGGGGAGAAAACAGAAAACACAGAGAGGATCACTGAAGAAATGTTGACAGAAAACATCCGTAATATTATGAAGGATGAAAAGTTGACCATCCAAGAAGCTCAAAGAACCCCACATAGGATATGCCCCAAAAGAAAATCACCAAAACATATCATAATCACCCTCCCTAAAACCAAAGACAAAGAAAGAATCCTGAGAGCGGCTCAACAAAAGTGAAAAGTCACATACAGAGGGAAAACAATAAGACTAAGCTCTGATTACTCAGCAGAAACCATGCAGGCAAGAAGGCAATGGGATGACATATATAAAAACTTGAAGTACAAAAGTTACCAACAAAGAATAACATATTATCAAAACTTTCATTCCAATACAATGGTGAAATTAAGTCATTTCCAGATAAACAGAAATTAAGGGACTATGTAAAAACCAAACCAAACTTACAAGAATTATTATAGGGAGTCCTTTGGTTTGAGAAAAAACAACATCAGACCACAGCTTTAATCTAGGACACAAGAAAGCACCAGCCAGATACCAACCAAGGAAATAACTCTCAAGGACAATTCAAAATCAAAAGATTTACAACAGGGAACCAGAGAGGTTAATCTGTAAATGACAAAAACATCAGAACAATAAAAGAGGGAATAAACAGTGTAGGTATAGAACTTTCTAATGGAGAGGAAGGCAAGGTGATACCAAGTAATAATAGACTGGTTCAAA